GCAGCCTCTGCGCCCTCATTATCAAACAGCAGGAGAGCGTCCGTGGCACTTCCCTCACCCTGCAGCTATTTTGCTTCTTGAGCCTTGTGTTTGCAGACAGGGATCTGCTTGCTGCCATCAGCATCCGTCCCTGGAAGTGTTTTAAAGTGCATTTACGCTGGAAAAAAATGAAGTGTGCTGCTCCGTCTGGAGACCTGGCTTGCCTTTAAAAAGGGCCTGAGCAGCGGGAAGGCTGCCACGGTGCTCTGGCAAGTGACACAGCAAAGTGCTGCATCGCTGCCGCGTCCTTGCCCAGGATGCCCGGCAATCAGCTTGACGAAGGCTCTAATTTCCTCATCTGCAAACCTACGTTGCTCCACTTTGGCACGGACTTTCTACTGGGGTGTTTGTGCAACTCTTCCCAGCACCGCCGGAGCGCGGCTGCCTTGCGAAGGCTGCGCCCGTGGAGCTGGTGCAACTCCCGGGTTGGGCAACGGCAGGCAGCCGCCTTCCCTGGCACACAAAATGCTGTCCCCACTCTGCATTTTGCGTCCTGCACAGCGTAAGGGCTTCTGCCAGCGCCCCTTGGTCCTCATTAGCACGGCCCTGGGAAGAAAAGGAGCCGGCAGGGAGCTGCAGGATGCCAGCAGCTCTCTGCAGGGCACGGGAAGGAGGGGAGGGGGCTGCCCGGCCGTGGCGTGGCAAATAAAATTCCTGGCCCCAGATTTGCACCTTTCTGCACCCTCCCCAGTGAGATCCTGGGGAAAGCTGGGGGAAAGGAGGAGAGAGGAGCCTCCGCCCTCGGCAGCTCTGTTTGGAAGGAGGACAAGGGTCAGGCAGGAGCAGGGTGTGTGGGGAAAGAGGCCTTTTTTGGCTTGATGGATGTGGTGTGTGAGGATGGCCTGAGCAGGCCTGGTCGGTTCCTGCTCTGGGGTTTTCCATCGGCCCCGTTGTGGGAGTTGCTGTGGCCCTGGGCTGTGCTCCCTCCCCGGTGCTGGCTCCTGGTGGCTCCTGGTGGCTGGCTGACTTGTCTGCCACCAACCGTGACATCTTGGCTGGCTGTAAATGGGATTTTCTCTGAATTGGCTGGAGATGGCAGTTCTGGGGGGGCATCCCAGGTGGTAACATCAGCCAGCTCCTGCACCTTCATCTGGTTGTGATGCCACGATGCTGGGCCGTGGTGGCACGGGGATAGTCGGAGACGTGCCCAGAGCCTTTCTAAAGAGGCTTTGTGTTCTTTCATTCCAGCACCACAAAGGCACTGAAGAGGATCCTGCCCTTTGCCTCGCTCAGCTTGAGGAGCCCGGTCCCACTTCGACCCAACTCGTTGCTCTACAGAGGTGATGGAGCCCGCGCAGCTCGGCCAGCTGGAGGCTGGGCACGGTGTGGCCCTTGGCAGGTGAGCCCGCAGGAGCGCCCCGTTGTCATCTGTGTGGTATTCTGCTTCATGCGCTGCAATTAAGCCAGCTGCCAAATGATGATGTGGCAAATCTGGGCGGTGTGGTCTCCTCCGATCTGCTCCTGGACGCTGGGCAGATGAGCTGGAGTGGAAAACATCTGCTCTGTGCATCCGGGGATGTGGCGGTGACTTAGAAGGAGGGACTTTGAGTGGATCTCAAATTCGTTTCCAACCCCGACGTACCCAAAGAGGGCACCGGGTGCTACCAGCGCCCTCTGAAAAGAGCAGCGCTGCTGCGTCGTCCCGAGCAGGGATGAATCAGCGGAGGGTGAATAGCAGACAGGGGCTGGAACTGCTGCAGTCCTGCTGCAGACACAACCTACGTGAACACATTCATCACATCCTGAGAATGCACCCCAGATTTTCTTGCGCGTCTGTTGTTATTACAGGCTGGCTGGGCTTGAAAGGAAGAAATCAACAACTGCCGGCTGCCGGTGGCAGCCCAGAGGGGCTCTGCTGGTCCTGGGGGCTCTGCTGAGCAAGCACCTCCGCAGCCCTGGCATGGGTCGGGGTTCGTGTCCACCCGTGTGTCACGGGGAATCGGGTGCCAGCTCCTCCGAGCGGCCTCCTGAATGCCAGGGCTGGGTGATGGCGTGGGCACCTGTCATGGTTGTGCCATGAGTCTTGCATCGGTCGCGTGTTTTTCTTGGAGTCAGTTCCTGGAATCCCAATTACGCAGGAACGTGTTCTTTAATTTTCAAGGAAGAAAGTCCGTTTTGGGATCTCCCCGTCCCCGAAACTTCAAAACTAAAGGGAGGCGAGAAATTCCTGGGTTGTCTTACCCTGACGGTTTGAGCCATTGGTTGTCTGCAACCAGATTCATGCAGACACTATAAATCATTCCCCATTTTCCAAAACACGTTCAGTAATCTTTTTTTGGCAGTTCAAGACCTGAATACATAAAAACCCAAATAGTCTTTCTGTGTCTCCTCTAGCCCAGAATACAAAGATGATCAGAGCAGCTCTTTGTGTCTGTGAAAACGATCCATTTTGGGTGCATGAAACGAGTTCTGCAGGGCTCCAACGATTTCATTGAGGTCTTAGTGGCCTTTGAGGATCGTAGCCCACATCTCATTGACTTCAAGGCAGTTCCTGTTGGCTGGGAAGGGAGATCTGAGAGCTGATGAGCTTAATGAACATGGCACCTGTGCAGCTTGGGAGCATCTACAGGGATCTTTAGCCTCGTTACGTGGGAGTGGAGCACGTCTCTTCCCCAGGTTAAGGATGCTGAGCTGGGTGCTGAAGACATTTTGCAAAGCTCTGCTAATGGAAATCAAGCACGTTCCCAACCACAGCACGAGAGCCTAAAACTGGGCTCTGGAGCTGGCTGGGGGCTCCAAAGGGCAAGGCAATGACCAGCAGCAGGTAGCACTTGGAGGGCATTCCCAAAGCCTCTCTGGCCTCCTACCAATTCTCCATTTTATTTTTAAAATTCATTTTAGTTAATCTCAAATCCATCTTCAACAACAACAACAAAAAAACCACCCCTGCTTTGCCTTCAGGGGCAATCTGCAAGGAAAATCCAGCTCTTCCCGGCTTGACGCAGAGATGAAAAGCCTGATCTGAAGAAAATAAATTAAAAAAAAAAAAAAAAAAAAGAGGCCATGGGGGCAAGCCCGTGCCTGGTGCCGTAGGGACGCGCCAGCCTGGCGGCGGGGGGTCGGCAGCGGCTCCCCGGAAACAGGAGCATCCCCAGCCTGGGGCGGGTGAGCAAGGGCCTGGCTCACCCCAAAAGGAGCCGGAGCCGCAGGGTTCAGGCTCTCCCCTCGCTGCCTTGGGGCACGAGGGAGCTGCTTTTGCAGCTAAAAAAGGATTCGAGGAATTCGGGCTGCCTTGGGAGGGAGGGGCGAGCTGCATGGGGAGGATGCTGGCAATTAGGCTGGTGCCGAGCCTCTCCTTCGGCGTGATAACCCCATCATGGGGTTAGCCCTTAAATGATGAGCCCTTAAAACAAGGACTTTAGCCCAGGGTAAAATAACGGTGATGACATCCCTTCGCACTGAAGCTGTCGGGAACAGCTGCCCGGGCCAGAAACCGGGCGGCTGCTGGCAGGATTTTTGTTTTTTAATCTCCTGCTGGCTGACAGCGAGCTGTGGCATCATCCCTGCGCCAGCCAGAGGCTGCTGCTCACATCAGCCATGCAGGGGCCCCCTCCCTGTGCTGCAATAATCCCGTTGGGGTTTAATCACAGCTGCCCGGGCCGCGTTGTACCACCCTCTGCCCCCATTCGCATCAGCTTGGACCCACACAGGGTGCGTGGGGGCACCCCTCCTGCCCTCACATCCCGTGAGCTCTGTCCCCATCGCCTCCCCGTTGCACCCTTGGGGCCGTGCCCCGCTCTGAGGCCCCTGTGCTCCCCTGCCAGGGCAAGGCTTGGCTCTCGCAGGCTTGTTTTTCTAGCACGGCAAGTCCTCCGAAAATACCTAGGTGGGGCCCGTCGCGGCTAATGGCCTTTCTGGGGCTGGAGCCAGCACCCGGCTCTGGGGAGCGATGGGCACCCCGCATCACGGGGCCCCTCGTCACGGCGGGGCGGGGAAGGCAGGAAGGTCTTCCTTTTGGAGACAGCACCTTTTAGGGTGGCTTTTGAGGGTGTTTTTTTTTGGGGGGGGGAGGCCACGTCCAGCTCTGCCCCGGGGCGCTGTGCAACGGGCACCTTCCGGGTGCGTGCGTGAGCACCGGCACGGCCCCACCTGGGGCTGCGGGGCTGGGATTCCCTGCTTTTTTTGGGGTGGAGGAGCTGGATTTGGGGCCTTTGTGGTGCGTAACGTGGCCAGGCATCGCTCCCCGATGGCAGCCACCAGCCCCGTGCGGCCCTGGGTGTCCCCGCCACGTGTGGGGACAGTGCCGGGTGGGGGGGACACCCCTGCAGATGCCACCCAGCCGGCGTGGCCCTGGCTGACGTCAGGGTGTCCGAGCTGGGTGCTGCCGTCAGGCGGGCGGCTTCCCTCGAGGAATTTCCATAATGGCAGCGCCGCAGGTTTTGGGCCTGAATCAGCCGCATTTCGCCCCGTGTTGGTTTATCGGGATTTCACGCGGGGCGTCCGCGGGTGCTGCCGGCCTTTTGGGGAGGGTCTCCTGGGACACCCCCCTGCCTCCATAGGACAGTTTATGGGATTGGGGCTGCCTGGTGACTGGGGTGGGGGTCCTGGGCAGGGGGACACGCTGGGCACCTCTGCCACCCCCAGCAGGAGCTGCCTGTGGGGTAGCGGGGGGCTATTTAGGGGCGCGAGGTGCTGCAGGTCGGGACCCCCTCAGACTGCACAACCCCCAAAACACCGGGGTGGAGCTGAGCCCCCCGAGCTGGGATCTGTGCGTGTGGTGTGTGTGTGTGGCGTTTGGGTGGGGGGGTACCCAAACACACCCCCCCTCCCCAAAAAAACCCTCCCCTCAGGTGGGAGCAGCTCCCATCAGGGGGCGCTGCGATGGCAGCGGGGTGTGTGTGTGTGTATGGGGGGGGGGGGGGCTGAGCCCCGCCCCTCCGGTCCCGCCCGCCGGGGGCGGCCCCAAAAAGCCGGGCGGCCCCAAAAACCGGGCGGCCCTACAGCCGGGCGGCCCTACAGCCGGGCGGCGGCCGGGTGGGCGATGTGGCGGCGGCGGGCGCGGAGCGGTGGCGGTGGCCGTGGTGGTGGTGGCGGCGGCGGCGGCGGCCACCCGGGGGGCCGGTGGTGGCCCGCGGCGCTAGTGCTGGCCCTGGCGCTGCCCGCGGCTCGTCCCCGGGGGCTGTACTCGCCCAGCGACCCGCTGGAGCTGCTGGGGGCCACCACGGCCGAGGGCCGCATCCTGGGCTCCCCCAGCGCCTGGGCCGTCGAGTTCTTCGCCTCCTGGTGCGGCCACTGCGTCCACTTCGCCCCCACATGGCGGGCCCTGGCCGAGGACATCCGCGGTGAGTGCCCGCGGTCGCCCCCATAAATCCCCTAAATCCCCCCAACCCCCCTCGCCGGCACTTTTCGCTCCCCTCTGGGTCGGGGGGCGACGGGAGACCCCCCCGGGAGGAGCTGCGCCCTGGTTTTGTCACCCCCAATTTGACCTCCGAGGGCAGGGAGCGAAGGGTGGGGGCAATAGGGTGAGCACCCCGTCCCCTATGGGGTCCCCTCCTTGCCACGGGGACCCTCGCCCCGTCTCGCCCCTCTGAGCGGACTGAAGCCCTGGCTGGATTTTGGACACCAGGACGCTGCTGTGCCACGGATGCTCACCCCGCTTTGGGGTCTGTCGGGGTCGGAAGCCGCCCCCGTGCGCTGCTGGCAGCGGGAAGGAGCCTGCGGGAAGGAGCCTGCACGCCGCCGTCCCCCCAGGTGGATTTTTGTAGGAACGGGCTCGACGGGCAGGACGCCGGCTGCGGGGCGCCGCGTGCCGATGAGTGCAGGAGCGTGCCTGGCCCCCGGCTGCCCCCGCGGCCCTGACGGCCCTTCCTGTCCCCACGTGGCACCGCCACCCTCGCGGCAGGGTGGCCTCAAGCTGGGCTGTTTGTGAACCCAAAAGGAGCCATTTTGGAGGTTTTGGTCTCCATTTTGCTGGTTGGAACCTGTAGATCCTGCTGGTTGACGTGCCCATGGACCTTCCCTGGGGACACCGCTGGACAGAAGGGTCACGAACGTCATCTCCTTCCCCTGCCCGTCTCTCACCCTGGAGCATTGCCGGCGTGTTTTTTGGGCCCGTTTCCCCTTGCTTTCCATCCATCCCATCGGACTGGGGCGAGACGAGCCGGAGCCCAGCTCACACGCCGTGCCCAGCCACGGCTCAGCCGTCCCTCCCCAGTCCCGGCGGCATTTGGGGCCCCGCGCCCCATCCCGCTGAACCAGACGGGCGGGCGGCCGCGGGCAGAGCTGCCTGCACCCGGCCAGGGCAGGGCGTGCAGGGCTGGCGCCGCCTCGCCCGGCTCTGCCGTGGCTTTTGCCGCCCCAAAAAGTAGGGCACGAAACGCTGGCCGGGTGAGCGCACCCGGTGCTTAGGGCTCAAGGTGCTGTGGGGCCGTAACCAGCCCCCGAGCCAAGCATTTGGGGCCATGGGCAGCGTCCCCGCTTGGATGGGGACAGTCCCTGGGTGCTGCTGGCTGGGGATACCAAGGGATCCCAGCTGGTCGGCTCCGAGTTCTGGTAGAAAAGGTGTGGGCAGGGCTCCAGCAGGACCGAAAATACGCATCGTGGGGCGGCTGTTTCTTTTTTTGAAGATTTTTCCAAGCAAGCATTGATTGGAACGAGTCCCCCGAGCTTTGGGAGGCAAGAAAAGAGGCCAAGGTGCTTAAGCTGTCCTCGCCGTGCGCCGGGGCTGCGGGAGGAGGCGGAGGTGGGAGATGGAGACGGGAGGGATGCGGGGGACGGGGCCAGGCGGTGTGGGGCGTCTGCAGCCCTGCTGCAGGCAGCGTTGGCGGCAGGAGGATTAGCTCTGCCTTGGCCCCGTGCCTGGCTCTGCGCAAGCTCTCCGTGGCCACCGTCACCACCAGGAGGGACAGGGAGAGGTTTTCCCATCGCCGAGGATCGGCACAAAGCGACAGAGCTGGCAGCTCGTGCTCCCCAAAAGCAGAACGTCCTCGAGGATGGCGACGCACGGGGATGTGCATGGGAGCTGCCTGAATAGTGGGGATGCTCCATGGGGCTGTGGCCGTGCTGACCCCGTCCTCTGTCCCCGCAGAGTGGAGGCCGGCAGTGATCCTCGCGGCCATCGACTGTGCCGACGAGGCCAACCAGCAGGTGTGCGCCAGTTTTGGGATCACCGGCTTCCCCACGCTGAAGGTAAGGCAAGGGTGGGGAGAGGCCCCTTTGCCAGTGCCCGCTTTTCACCCTGCTTTTCCTCGTGGCCCACCCCTCTCTCGCTCAATGGGGCTGGCAGCACGACTGCACCAAAATATTCCCTTTGGGACTTTGCAGGCTGCTTCGCCCCGGGGCCAAGCAGCTGCCCGGGATGGGAACCTCTGCTGGCAGCAGCTGGCAGGGCACCATCCCTCCTCCTGGGCCCCTGCCCGGCCGCTGAGCTGTGTAAATACTCCAGCTCTCAGCACTTCCCACTGTAAACAGAGCCCGTCCAGCACCTGCAGGGCAGGCAGAGCTCCCCAGGCGCTCCCCGGCCAGCAGGATGCCCAGCGGGCAAGCAGGGCGAGCTGCCATCTCCTTGAGAAGGAGAGGAGGGGAGGAGGGATGGGTTTTTAACTCTGTTGTGCTCGGAGGTGGGTGCCAGGGCGGCCCCGTCCTCCATCACTTAATTAAAGCAGGGTTAATTGCAGCTCGGTGAGCTGGAACCAGTCGAACGCCCTGTGTGTGCGTGCAGCCCGCGGGGCCGGCTGGGCTCCAGCAGGACGGGGCTGCAAAAATCAGACTTTTTGGAGCAGTGAAAACCCTCCTGGCTTCCCCCTCCGCTGGGAAAGTGAGCGGTGCTGGGGCTGTGGGGGCCAGCAGGCTGAGGAACCTAGCGCAGGGTCAAGATTTGGGGTGCAGGAGCTGTGCCCAGCCCTGCCGTGGGGTCTTACTGGGTGGAGGGCGTTGCTGCTGTGGCCCCGCACCCCCTCGTCCCCACCTCCCTGTCGGAGCCCAGCGCCTTCTGCAAACAGCTCCCAGCCCGGCCTGCAAAGCAAACACCTACGTGGCACAATCTGGTTCCACAGCTGCCTCGGGACGCAGGAGAGGGCACAACCTGGGCAGGGCAGGGGTCACAAACCCTTCTGCTCCCTTAGTGGAAGCTCGGGAGCCGCAGGCAGCGGTTTGTGGGGCTGGGGCGGTCCCGGCTGCACCCCGGGGTCCCCTGGAGGTGCGCGCCGTGCCGCCTGGCAGTGCTCAGCATCCCTCCCCTCGGGGCGGGCGAGGCGCATCCGGAGCCGGGCAGCATCCGTCCCGGTGACGTCCCACGCGCGGGGATGCCCGGCGAGGCGGGGACACCTCGTGTTTATCTGTGCTGTGTTCCTTCCAGTTCTTCAGAGCGTTCACCAAGAAGGCAGAGGATGGGATAAGGATTGCTAGTGAGTATTCAGGGCCTTTTAGCCATGTTCTTTTCTTTTATTTTTTTTGGGGGGGCTGCAGGGAGTCAGGTCGCTGGTTGGCCCCTCAGGGAAGCCCCAGGGGACAGCTCAGCCCCGTGTCCTGTCCCCCCGCAGACCCCGCTGCCACCGTCACGGAGCTGCGCCGTGCCATCATCACCAACCTGGAGCAGAGCCTGGACGCCTGGCCGCCCGCGTGCCCTCCGCTGGAGCCCGCGAGGTAGGGGCGGCAGGAAAAGGGGTTTTCCAGGGACATCCTGAGCCAGAAGCGCTCAGCCAGCCCGCCTTATTTTGTATTATTTTAGTTTTAATTCAGCCTGGCTGGAAAGAGAGCAAGGTGGTGCCTGCGGAGGGAGCGTTGGGCTTTCTGCAAAGCGATGTTTGGGCCAGGGTCATGCTGCAGCTCTCCGTGTCCTAGCCAAAAACCAAAACACAACCCTTGTTCAAATTCATTGCTGTTTTGTTTTACTGTTTGTTTTTTTCCCCGTGGGTGAGCGCACAGCTCCCTCCTGCCCTGCCCACGCTTTGTTTTCTACCTCCTTAGTTGACCCTGCGGGCTTTCAGAGCCCGTGAACCGGAGCAGAAAACAGGGCTGGAAACCTCAGCAGGGAGGAACCGGGGCTGGAACCACATCAGCGACCTGTCCCCGATCCCTGCGGACAGGGACCCGTTGACATGGGAGGGTGAAGCCCCCCGGTGGTGCCGGCGGGGCCACCTGCAGGACCCCCCCCAACACCACCACGCTCCTCTCTTGCAGCGCGGAGGAGGTTCACAGCTTCTTCCAGAGGAACGGCGAGCAGTACCTGGCGCTGATCTTCGAGAAGAGCGACTCCTTTGTGGGCAGAGAGGTGGGTGCAGCTGGCGGCGTCCCCGGTGCCTCCTCCTCCCGGCATGCGCGTGGCCAGGGAGGGATGGGGATGCTCAGCACCTCCAAAAAAGAATAAATCCCTGCTGCCCTCCGCTTGCAGGTGATTTTGGACCTGCTGCAGTACGAGAACGTGGCGGTGAGGAGGGTGCTGAGCAGCGAGGAGGAGCTGGTGCAGAAGTTCGGCGTCACCACCTTCCCCTCCGGCTACCTGCTGCTCCGCAACGGCTCCTTCTCCCGCCTGCCCGTGTGAGTTGGGGTCTTCCCCAGCGCTCCCAGCAGCTGTTTTGGGGTGGGAGAGGGTGGGCTCACGGCTCCTCCCTCCCTCCCCGCAGGCACCTGGAGGCGCGCTCCTTCTACACCTACTACCTGCGGACGCTCTCCGGCGTCACGCGCGGCTCCTACCGCCTGAACGTCACCGCCAGCGCTCCCAACGAGACCCGCGCGGTGCAGCCGAGGAGGGCTGACCGGTCAGAGCCCTTCCTGGGCATTTTGGGGTGGCAGAGGGGGGGCGGGAGGAGCTGACATGTCCATGGGTGGACAGAGGGCTGGGATTGTGCCCTTTTGACCCCCCCAAAATGGGACTGCGGGGGCGCAGAGCGGAGCGCCGACGGGCGTCGCGCTGTGCCCCCAGCTCCAAGGTGTACATGGCCGACCTGGAGTCCGCGCTGCACTACTCGCTGCGGGTGGAGGCCGGCCGGCCGGCCGCGCTGTCAGGAGCCCAGCTGGCCGCCTTCAAGTGCTACGTGGCCACGCTGGCCAAGGTGAGGAGCAGCCTGCATTCGGTTCGGGGTGAAAAGCAAACATGGGGGTGGCGGAGGGTTGGGACACCAGCCCTGTGTCCCCATCCGTCACCGCTCTGAAGCTGTGCCCTGCGGTTTGTGCCAGCCCCCGGTTGGTGAGAGCGGTGCTGGGGGCTTTGTTTTCCTGCCCACACCTCTGTGTGTGGGTGCTCGTGTGGCTGGTGGTGCCGGATGGCTTCGGGTGCGAACAGAGGGGTGGGTGTCCGCGGGCAGAGCAGGCTGGGTGCCTGCAGAAGAGGCGCTGCCACCTGCAGCGGGTGGCCGTGGGTTTGCAGCTCCTGTTTGGGAGCTCAGCTCGGGGTCCTGCTCTCTGCTGGCTCCTTTGATAGCCTGGCAAAGGCGCTGCTGCTCTGCACGGTGCCGTGGAAGGGGCTGATTTCAGGTCTCCTTTCTGGGGCTTGGAGAGATTCACGCGCAGAGGAGCTCCGAGCCAGCAGGTGCGGTGCCACCAAGCACTGCATTTGGACCAGGATTTCTCCAGCAGATTTGAGCGAGCCCCTTCCCAGTCCGGGTTCTCTGACCCCCCCTGGCACTGGGCAGATCCTGCTGTGCGTTTCCATCCCCGCCGTGTGCCGGGGCTGTCCCCGGGGATGCCGAGCCCGTGCTGTGCTGCCGTTCCCATGCTCATCCACGGGACGGAGCAGCGGCACCAGCATTGCTGCCAGCCCGGCTGAGCCTTAACTGTTGCATTCCCACGAGGAGCTGGAGGCAAGGAGCAGGGGGAATCGTGACGGGGAAGGAATGACAGCTGGGAAGCAAGGCATCGAGTGGTTAAAACCTCACCTGGAAGGAAGGAACAGCGCTTTGCAGCAGCAGTGTTGGATGTTGGATGAATTCCTTGCAAATTTAGGGCTTGTGGTGTCGTTGGAGGGTCCAGGGAAAACAGCCTTGGCAAAGGAGGAGCAAAATGCTCCTTTTACTTCCAGCTGTTTCTCCTATCTGCTGCTGCTGTCTTTCTGGTGGCTGTGGCACAAGCCTGTCCCTCTGTCTGTCCGTCCTCCTGCCACCAGCATTCACTCACAGGCTCCCCATCTCCCCGCTGTGCCTGTGGTTTGCGAGCGCTGCCGCTAATCGGCTTTGGCTGCCTCCCTGTCAGAGCAGCTCTCTGCCCTGCTCAGACAGCCGGGTGCTGGATCTCTGACTCTTTCCTCACCCATTTTCCCCCCGTTTCATCGCAGTACTTCCCCGGGCGCCCCTGCGTGCAGAGCTACCTGCAGACCCTGGATGGCTGGCTGAGGAACTGGACGGAGCCCGAGCTGCCCCGCAGCGCCCTGAAGGAGGCGGTGAAGAACAACCAGGACGTAAGGCTCCCTCCTCCCCTTTCCCCGTCCTCCCCGTCTCGGTCTCCAGCCCCGTCAGGCCGTGTCCCTCTGTCCTGCAGGCCTCCCCCCCGGCCGTGCTCCCCACCAACGTCACCTGGGTGGGCTGCAGGGGCAGCGAGCCCCATTTCCGCGGCTACCCCTGTGGGCTCTGGACCGTCTTCCACCTGCTGACCGTCCAGGCTGCCCAGGGCGGCCCCGACAAAGGTAAGGGCATCCCTCCAGGGGCAGGGGGACAGGGGATGCTCTGTCCCAGGGGAAACTGAGCGGTGGAGGCTCTGCGGGGTCCCCAATCGCTCTCTGTGCCCCCCCAGAGCTGCCGCTGGAGGTGCTGGGCACCATGCGCTGCTACGTCAAGCACTTCTTCGGCTGCCAGGAGTGCGCCCAGCACTTTGAGGCCATGGCAGCCAAGTCCATGGACCAGGTGAAGGGCCGGGACGAGGCCGTCCTCTGGCTCTGGTCCCACCACAACGAGGTCAACGCGCGCCTGGCGGGTAAGGGGGCTGAGGTGGGGAGGAGGAGGGGTGGCAGGGTGGTACCCGGAGGTGTGGGGACTGAGCCGGGCTGGTTTCCCAAGGGGAAGGGATCCGGGATGTAGGAGCATCCCTCCTCATGGTGGAGTTGGCCAACAGCTTCGCTAAGATGGGGTCCCATGGGGGTGGGGACATCCCGTGTCCCCCCCAGCTCAGAGGCTGGTAGCTGGTTGCAGGGAGCCTCCCAAAGCTGCCCCCAGAGCACCCATCCTCCTGAGATGTCCCCGTTGGTAGCAGCACATGGGGGGCTGCAGAGGACCCCCTCACCCGCTGCCCCTCCAGGTGGTGACACGGAGGACCCCCAGTTCCCCAAGCTGCAGTGGCCCCCGCCGGACATGTGTCCCCAGTGCCACAAGGAGGAGCGGGGCGTGCACGCCTGGGACGAGTTGGCCGTGCTGAGCTTCCTCAAAACCTTCTTCTCCCCGGGTAACATCGACCTGGACTACGCCGTCCCCGTCCCCCGGGCCGGGGAGGAGGCGGTGGTGGGCGCCAGGCTGGGCACCGCCAGCCCCCGGGAGAAGGAGGAGGAAGAGGAGAAGGAAAAGGAAGAGAAGGAGACGGAGAAACCCGACGGGGAGGGCGAGACGGGGCGGCCGGGCTCCCCCGAGCTGCGTCGCCCCAGCATCGTGCGCAGGAACCCGCGGCTGCGGGAGGCGGGCGAGGACATCGTGGACCTGGACTCCTTCAGCGAGCAGCACTTCAAGAGCAAGGCGCTGCGGGCAGCCGGCCGGCGCCGGCGGCTCAGCAAGCGGGACACCATCCCTCTGCACCAGGACGCCGGCTGGGAGCGCCTGCGGGCTCCGGAGACCCGGGAGGAAGAGGAGGAGGAGGAGGGAGGAGGCTTGCGGAGGAGCCCCTGGCTGCGGGTGCTCGGGCTTGGGCTTCTCCCGCTTGGACGTCAGCCTCTGCATCGCGCTCTACTTCCTCTCCTCCATGTGCCTCCTGGGCATGTACACGTTTTTTCGGCTCCGTACCCGTGCCCGCAAGGGTCGCCCCGGCTTCCCCGTGGCCTGAGAGCGAGCCTGGGGGGACGGGGCAGCCCCTGGGATTTGAGGGACCCCCCCCAGCTGCCTCGCACCCGGGGAGAGGTTTTGCTGCCTCTCCCAGGGCGGCGGGTGGAGGGTGATTTTTGGGGGGCGGGGGGTGGGAACGGAGGTGTGGCAGCGTCCCTGCCCGTGCTGCGGGGATGCTGACGGTGGTTGGGGTCCCGGCCCCGTGCCGGGGGCAGCCCTGTGGGGTCACACCACTGCTGGGGCTGGGAGCGTTGGGTTTTGGGGCCACCCCCCACCCCCAGGCACTGCGGGGCGGGGGGGGCACTCGTGGGTCTCACCTGCGTCTCGTGTCCACCCCACACCCCCCGCTGCTCGCTCTCTGCTTGTTTTAGTGGAATAAATTATTTTTTGCCGACGGCGGCCCCGCTGTCTCGGCTCATCCCTAAATTTTCCCCTGCTTTTTGCCTCCTTCTTGCAGGGGGCTGCTGTGTACCCCCCAGCTCCTGGTTTGTCCCTAAGGAGGGGGGCACACACAGGGAACCCAGCTGGGAATGAAACATCCCCAGTGCGGCTTGGTGTGGGGCAGGGATGCGGGAGCATCCCCGGGGAGGGGGTCCTGGCCCCGTTTCCCTCTGCCCTTTTATCCTTGTTAGGAATCATTAAGGAAAATGGTTGTTTTCTGGGGCCGGGGCCATCTGCTGCGCTGGCGCTGCCTAAATCCCCCCCTGTAACAAATTCATTGGGATTACGCTGCCCTCCCTAATCCCGGCCCTGCCCCCCGCCCGGGGGATTTAAAAGGATTAGAGCCCAGCTGATAATAAACTTTATTAAGGGGTGGGGGCCGTCAATCCGATTTGCAACCTTTTTCTTGCTGTCTTCACTTCGCCCAGGTGGGAGGAGAGGGCCGGCAGGACGGGGAGCCCTGGCTCCTGCAGCCCCAGCCTCCTGCCCTCGAAATAAATCGCCTGTCGCTGCTGCCTCCCTCTCCTTGATTTCCCTGGGGGGGCTCATCCCCAGCATCAATTCCCCCCCCCCCCCCGAATCCCCGCCCCGGCCCAGCTTCGCCACCAGCTGCTCCCCTGCTCCCCCCCCCCCCGACCCCAAAACATGTGGTTGGCAAAATGGGATGGGGAGGGGGGGATGCAGGGTGGTTTTGTTTTTTTTTTTTGGCGGGGGGGGGGGTGTTTAGCTGCCCGGATTAGCATCCCCGGCAGGCGCTGCGGGGAGATTTGTGGGGCCGGGCAGCTAAAGCTGCCATGCGTGCAGGGGAAAAAAAAAAATAGAAAAAAAAAAGAGAGTCCCGTAAATAGACTTTCCGTAATCCTGTTTGGTGCGGGCCCGAATCCCCTTTTTGGGGGGGGGGGCACGTGGAGGGGACCCCCCTCCCGCAGCACCGGGCACCTTTGGGGCAGCGCCGCCTCGTGCCCCGCTCAGGGCTGGGCTGGGACATCCTGGGGACGAGGGGGGGGACCCCAAAGGGACCCCCCCCCATGGGGCTCGCCCCTTCCCTAGCCCCCCCCCCAGCACCCCCCCGGCCCCGCAGCTAATTACCTAAGTGGCCGCAGGCTGCGGGAGCCAGGCGCTATTCCCTAATAGAATTTGCCCTCAAGTGCAATTTAATTTTCCTCCAGGCCAGCCTGCCCCCCCCCCCGCCCCCCCCGGCTCGCCGCCCCCCGCCGCTCCCTTTCTCCCCTCGGTCCTTTTTTTTTCTTTTCCTTTTTCCTTTCTCCCTCCTCGGCGTGGGCGAGAGCGTTGTGCCGGCACCCCCCCCGCCGCCCCTGCTCGGGCCCTAAAATCACCGGGAGGGGGGGGGACACACACAGAGGGGGCGTTTAATGTCCGGTAATTCCCAATTAAAATCACCGGCTCCCTGCCCGCCAGTCCCCGCTTTCTCCAGCCGCCGGTAAGTGCCCGAGCTCCGGGAGATGGGGATGGGATGATTTGGGGTGTGTGGGGGGGTGGCCAAGAATTGGGGGCCGTGCTGAGCCTGGTTTGGTGGCGCAGGGGGGCGCCGGGAGGGGGGCTGAGACCTGGCGAGCTCAGTGCACGGGTGGCACAAATGGGGCAGGATGCGGCCCAGGGCGGGGGGGTGGCTGTGGGGGGGGTTTGTAGGGGTCTTGGGGTGTCCCTGCTGCGGTTGGAAATGGGGAAACCCAGCTGAGCATCCCCCAAACTGCCCCGAAATGCAACCTGCTGCAATTCGGGATGGTCGCCCCCCCGCAGGCACCAAGCCGAAACTTCGCCCCGGTTTAGCTTGGGGGAGAAAATAAACCCTGGGAGGGGGTAGGAGGGGGGGAATTCCCCCCAAAAAATCCTCGCTCATGGTTTGGGATGGGAAATACCTGGGCGATTCGCCCTGCGCCACCCTCTCCCCCTGAAGGCGAAACAAACCCCGAAGCCACCAAACCCCGCGGAGGGGCAGCCGGGGGGCTGGGGGGGCAAAGACAAAGCCACACGGCACGGGGGGGGGGGGCACAGGGACGGGGCGGGGGGCACAGGGAAGCCTCGGGCAGCCCGAGAGGAGGATGCTCGGGGGGTTTTTTTAGGGAAAACTCGGCGCTGCGCTGCTCCGGCGGCCGCTCGCCGTGGCGCTGAGTGATACGGAGCGGGGCAGCGGGGTCTGCATCAATCCCACGGCAGAAAAATGAATGAAAATTGAATTCCCCGAGGAGAAGGGGGGTGGGGGGGGGGAAGGGGAGGGGGGGGGGAGCCGCGCTCCAGACAGAAAGATAAATCAGAGCCTGGAGGAGAGGAGGAGAGCGCGGTGCCTGCCCACAGCCCTGGGGTAATTGGGGAACCGCTTCGGGAGGAGGAGGAGGAGGAGGAGGAGCAGGACAGGTGCTGTCCATGCAGGGCCACGCGTCCTGCCGGGGAACTTCCCCCCCCCAGGACACGCTGGGGACAGCAGCCGCGTCCCCGGGGTCGGCCCCGGCCTGCAGGTGGTGGGGGCTGCAGGGGCCTGGGGTGCGCTCAGCGCAGGCGCAGAGCCGGGTTTTGGGGCCGGGAGGTTTGGGGTCAGGGCCGACGCCCCCACGGCACGGCGGGGTTTGGGGGTGGGGGCCGGGGGGGACACGGCTGCGGTGAGCAAGGAGCCGGGGTCCTGCGGTGCCACCGGGCGCGGGGTGAACACCCAGCAGCGGCCGATGCTTTTTCCCGAGGAAGCACCAGAATTGCTGCATTCCTCCCCTCCGTCCTCCCGTTTTGTATTTTCGCCCCTTTTTCCCTTTTTTTCCCTCAATCTTGGTGTCCCGCGGGCACCCGCAGCGCGGGTCCCTGGCCGGGTCCCGTTTGGCTGTGGGATCCCTCGTGGAAGCTCGGGAAGCAGAGCTCCCCGTCCTTATATCGCGATTCCCTTATATCGCGATCCCTATATCGCGATCCCCTATATCGCGACACCCGCGCCACGCTCCGCAGCCGCCGGACCCCCGCGCGCGGGGGGGCGTGGCGCGCCCATTAAGCCCCGCCCCTTCCCCGCAGGCCCCGCCCCCGAACCCCCAAACCCCGCCCCCTCTCCGAGCTGGCCCCGCCCCCTAGGCCGCGGGGCGGGCGGGGATTGGCCCGCCCCGCCCCCGCCCCCCTGCGGGCGGTGACGTCAGGCGCGCTCCCCGCAGGGGAATGAATGGGAGGCGGGCGGCGCGGGCGGGCACAGCTGCGGCACCGCGCCCGGGCCGCCACCGGCACCGGCACCGCCACCGGCACGGGCACGGCTGGGCTCCCAGCGCCGGCCCCGGGGCTCCGCCGGCCCTGCCCTGCCCTCCCGTGCCCCCCAAGCCCCGGGCCAATAAAATGATGCAGAGCTCCGCGCTCGCTGCCGAAGGGGCTGTCAAGGGGCTGCCGGAGATCCTCGGCGTGCCGGTGCAACGTAAGGACGCGCTTCGCTTCTCCCCCGCTTCGCTCCCTGCCGCAGGGCACGGGGGGGAGCCGGGAGGGCCCGGCCCCGACGGGGAGGTCGGCGCGGCGCGGCAGGGGGGTGCGGGGAGGGGGGTGCGGGGATGCTCGCGGTGCGCCCTTCCCGGCCCCTAGCGCACGACACCCCGCTTATATCGTTTATCGCGACAGACAAGCCGCGGCGGAGGGGAGAACCCTGCAGCCGGGACGGGGAGGGCGGCGGTGATCCCGCTGCGGCTGCGGGCTCCCCCACACCAGGCGTGTATTTTATATATTTATATATATTTATATATTTATATATTTATATATATATCTGTGTGTGTGTGCGCACATGGCCATACGTGCCGCACAGCCACAGGTAGCGCACCCAGCCGCCCCCCCCCACCGCCGGGATGCGGGCACAGCCCCGATTTTGGGCCCCCCCACCCCCTTTCCATAGGGCCGGCCGGACCCTGCCCTGCCGGGGGTGGTGGTGGGGAGCCGGCGGTGGGGGCGGTTTTGTTGCTGTTGTTGTGTATTTGATTATTTTTGTTAGTTATTATTTTTTTTTTTTCCCGTCGTTTGCAAACGGTTCCGGAGAACCGGAGCGTCCCGGCGGGCCCGGGGAGGGGGAGCCCATCGGGGGGAGCCGGGCGATGCTCTGCGGCCGGCCCCGGGAAAGTTGTGGGTTTTTTTGGGGGGGAGAGGGGGATTAAAGGGGGACAACGGTGCGGGGACGAAGGGGACCCGAGCCCCGGGGCCGTGCTAGAGCGGGCGGCTCTGCCTGGGGGGGCTGGCTGCATTTTGGGGGGGTACAGCCGGCTGTGTCCCGTCTGTCTGTCTGTCTGTCCCACTCTGCCGCCGGCCTTCGCCCTCATCTGCTCGCTGCTGCGCCCCCAAACCCTCTTTTCACCCCCCTCCACCCCCAAATCTCCTTCCCGTGCCCGCTGCACCCCCTCTGAGTCCCCCCCGGTCCCGGCCCGGCCGCCGTCACCCCCCCGCATGCCGCTGTCCGTGCGCCACCGGTGCCGGTCCCGACGGCTCGGCTCAGCCCCCCCGCACCAGGTTTTTGGGGCTGTTTCCCCGCTTTTGCCCCTTTTCGTTCCCGTGGCCGGGCCCGGAGGCAATTACACGTCCTGTGTAACGGGTGGGGGGGTGGGGGGGCTCTGTCCCATGGCCGCATCCTGACCTCCCCCCGCAGCCAAATGACAGCTCCGGGGCAGAGCCGCGGAATCGGCGTTTACGGCCCCAAAATCTCGCTGCAGCAAGGGATAAACGAGGTGCCCGAAGGGAGATTCAGCCCCCAGCACGGCCCCTGTCCCCCCCCCCCCGGCCCCTCGGGGTGCCACCAGCCTTCCCCCCCACCACTGCCGCGGTAACCGTGCAGGGGGAATTAGCAGGAAAAAATCAAACGAGATTTTGTTTTTCTGATTTATTTAAGCACAGAAATTGGTGGCAGATAGATATCTGTTTGCTATATAGCCGTGTCCATATATACATACACGTGCAATTAATTAATTAATTGCCTGGTGCTGAGCCCTGCGAGCAGCCAGCGGGCACCGCGGTGTCGGGGCCCGATCCTGCCCAGGGATCTTCCCGGGGGGCAAGGGGCTGCCCCCGGGCGGGGAAATCCAGGAAAAACCCCCCACACCCCCCGGCAGCCCTTGGGTGCTTCGTGCTAATTGCCGGCCGTGATTAACAGCGCTCTTTATTAACGTCCTGCTGCAAGGCAGAGGCCGCGGGGTTGCGGGGAGCCCTTCCCGAAATGATAAAATAATAAAAAATAATTAAAAAAATAGCCTGCTATGGTGGCACCAGGTCTGTCCCCCCCCCCATCGCTGTCACCGCCACCGTGGGCGGCTGGGGGGGGCCCCGCGGGGCCGTGCCACGCGTGGGGCCGCTCCGTGTGCGCCCATCCCGGGCTGGGGGGGTCCGGGGGGGGGGGGTCCGCAGCGCCGTGTGGCTCCGGGCAGCCCGCGGGCAAGAGCCGGTCCTCGGCTCGGTTTTGGCTTGGTTTGGCTTTGTTTTGCTTTGCTTCGGCTTATTTGGTTTCGTTGCGTTTTGATTTGTTTTTATTTTCTTTTGTTTAGTTGCATTTTGTTTTGTTTGACGTCATTTTTTTTTCTCTTTTTTTTTTTATTTTGTTTGCTTCATTTTATATTTATTTTCGAATGTATATTTATTTATTTTTTTCCCCCCTGGCAATTTGGGGGCAGGCATTGCGATACCGATCGCGACTGTTGGCGTGTTGACACGAAGCCGTGCTGCTGCCCTCGAGAGCGAGAAACCCGTGAGCTTCCCAGCACCTCCCCGCTCAGACAAATAAACACGCACACAAATCCCATTGCAGAAAGCAGCACCTGTCTTTATGAAATAAGTGAGATAATTCACTTTTCGGTGCCACCGACCCGGGGCTGGGCATTGCAGTGCCGGGGTCTCTCTGGAGCAGGGTCCTTCTGGAACTGGGACCCCAAAATCTGGTGTTGGGCTCAGGCAGGGGTGAGAAAGGTGCAAGGGAGGGCAAGAAGTTGGGCGCAGTCCCAAAACAAGCGGGGAGAGGGGCTGCGGAACCTGCGTGTGCGGGGTTTTATTCAGCCTCGTGCTGTGAATGTGACACGGGCTTAAATGCCAGCAATAAATACGGCCCCAAGGCCACTGGGACTGTAACTTATCTGCCCTCGAGAATTATAAAATCAGCTGGCTTCACTTGACAGACTTGTCAGTAACCCCAAAGTAATTTTAAGTAATGCTGGTTTGGTTTAGGCTGTAATGATATAATTTCCTACTGTGCCCTTTTCCTTTCTTTTTCCCCATTATTTTTTTTTTAACTTTTATTTTATTTCTTTCTTTTGGACTTTGCTTTTACTTGCCTTTTCCCCTTTCTTCCCAATTTTATTTTCCTGTATTTCTCCTTTTCATTTTCTTTTTCTTTTTTTTCCCCTTTTCATTTCCTCCCCCCCTTTCCTTTTCCTGTATTTCCATTTCCTTTTTGTTCCTTTTTCCCTTTTCTTTTCCTCTCTCTTTCCCTTTTATTTTCCTTTGTTTTTCATTTTATTTTCCTCTTTTCACCTTTTCACCTTTTCTTTTTCACATTTTCTTTTCCATTTTTCTTTTTCCCTTTTCTTTTCCTTTCCTTTTCTCTTTTATTTTCCTTTCTTTTTTTCCCTTTTCTTTTCCTGTTTTATTTTTTCCTTTCTTTTTTCCTTTTATATTCATTTAATTTTCCGTTTCTTTTCTTGTCTGCCCTTTTCTTTTTCTGTCTTTTCTACCTTTTATTTTCATTTCTTTTCACCTTTTTTCTTTTCTGTTCTTTTCTTTTCTGTTCTTTTCTTTTCTGTTCTTTTCTGTTCTTTTTCCATTTTGCTTTCCTTTCCTTTCTTTTCACCTTTTAATTTCCTTTCCTTTATTCCTTTCTTTTCACTTTTTTAACTTTTTGTCTTTTTTTTCTTTCATTTTTCTTTTCTCTTTTATTCTCGCTTGTAATTTCGGCATTTGTGGTCATTTCGGCCCTGTTTTCTTTGTTTTTTCCTTTTCCCTTCCCAAGGTTTGTCCAAGGGTTTGTTTTTTCCTGTTTTTTGGTTTTGCCTGCCTTATCCTTTTTCCTTCCTTCCTTCTTTCCTTTCCTCATTCCTTCCTGTCTTTCCTTTCCTTCCTTTCCTTCCTTCCTTTCTTTCCTTCCTTTCTTTTCTTTCCTTTCCTTTCCTTTCCTTTTCCTTTCCTTTTTCCTTACTTTCCTTTCCCTTTCCTTTCCTTTCCTTTCCTTTCCTTCCTTTCCTTTCCTTTCCTTTCCTTTCCTTTTCCGTTCCTTCTTTTTCCCCTTTTATTTCCCTCTCCCCTCCTTCTCCCCATCCCTCTCTCGGTTTCCTCCCTCACCCCTGGGTCCCGTTCCCCCTGCCCACCCCTCTCTGGGGTGCGGGGGGTGAATGCTCTCTCCCGGCCGCTGCTCCGGGGGCAGCGGAGCGGCTCCTAATCCCCCACGGGCTTTGTGGTGGCCAGAACAAAAATCCCCCCAGCAGCCCAGATATTTCCCGTGAGCTGGCACCGGCGGGAGGGGAGGCAGAGCTGATGCGGGAGCATCTCCAGCTATCAGCGTGAGGGTTTTTTTTTTCCCTAAAAAAATCAATTTTCTTTCATGCGCGCGTCTCAGCGTTCTGTGCGTGGCTTTTACCGGGCAATCTCCTGCAGCCTTTTCCAGCCCCCCCTGTTTATTCCGAGCTAGGGTCGGGTAGAAAAAGAGAGAGGAACACCCCGGCTCTCCAGATCTGTGTGAGGGCTGCGGGCAGATGCTGTGTGTGAGGCACCGCACACGCATCCTCCTGCAGCAGGGGGGCTGCAGAGGAGGCCAGGGACGCGTTGGCCACCCGCAGGGTTACCCCAAGCCCTGCTGGAGCCCCCCCCCCTCCTTGCTTCAGCCCCTTTCCAGCCCCGGGGATCCGCAACGTGCGGCTGGGAGCCGGCGGGCGAGCCTGCAGCCCCTGCAGGGGGGAAACCGGGCACGCACGGTCCTCGGGGTGAAGTGGGAGCAAGCAGGGGAGGAAGAGGCGTTTTTCCATGTGGGAACAAATTTTGGAAATCTATTCCTCGATGCCAGCGGGGAGGAGGCTTCAGTCCCTGCTGCCGGCGCGGCGAACAGGTGGCAGAGCGCGGGGTGCGCGCACGGAGCAGCCGGGGGGGGGCTGACGCTGCTTTTCTCTCCATCCCCCCCTCCCCAGAAATCCCCCAGTGCGCCGGCTGCAACCAGCACATCCTGGACAAGTTCATCCTGAAGGTGCTGGACCGGCACTGGCACAGCTCCTGCCTCAAGTGCGCCGACTGCCAGATGCAGCTGGCCGACCGCTGCTTCGCCCGCGCCGGCAGCGTCTACTGCAAGGAGGACTTCTTCAAGTGAGTACCGCGCCCCAAAAACCCCGCCAGCAAAGCAGGCAGGCGCACACATTTTAAAGCATCACGTCTCCAATTTTTTATTTCTTTTTTGTGTCCTTTTTTTTTTTTTTTTCAAGCCCAAGTGCTTAGAAAAAGGAAATTTTGCCACTTCCCGGCTGCCCCAGGCTGGGTGCTGTTGGTCAGGATTTAACCCTACAGACCCAGCTCCCCCTCACACTCCCTGCCCGGTTCTCCGTTATATTTTGCAGCCCGAATTGGTCTCGGTTGGCGGCCCCGCGGTGCTGGGAGCTAGAGGGCAGGAGCCACCCGTGCAAGGCGCAGCGCTGCCTGCTCCGGGGCTCTGCTGGTGCCGCTTCTCTCCCTTTGCTTTTATTTTTTTTTTCACATTTCCCCCCCATTTTTCTCCTTTTTTTTTTTTTTTTTTTTTTTTTTCCCTTGCCTTTTTTTTAATTCATTTTTATTTATTTTTTTCCTTTTCTTTTGCTCCTGGTGTGCAAAAACCTCATTTCATTTTGTTGCTGCTTTGCAATCGGCCCCTGAGCCGCGTGGTGCACCCTCCTCAGTGTTTTCCCCAGCTCCTGCAGGGAAGAAAAACCCATTTCCAGGGAAAAAGAAATGGACTCTTCAGCAAAGACGCTTTATTCCATGATTGCTGGCAAAATCTGGGAGTTTTTCCCAGGGCTGGCAGCGGGTGTTGCACCAGGGCCGGGCACAGCGGGTACATTGGCGTTGGCTGCTGTGACGTGAGGCGGAGGGGAGGAGGGACGGATCCTGCTTCAGGTGGTGGAGCTGGGCCATCAAGGAGCTGCCACACCTCGGGGACAGGGGCTGTGTCCCTGTCCCTGTCCCCTGCAAGCCCCAGGGGGGCCGTGCCGCATGCCCCATCCTTCATCGCCGGCTAAACCGCGAAATGGCGATTACACGGCCGTAATCCCCAGGCAGGACTTTCCCCTGGTTTAGTGGCACAGGGGGCTTGGTGCGGGGCTTCCGTGCCCCTTGGGAAGCCCAAACCAGCACGGATAAACCCCGGTGCTGTGCAGATTCCCCTTCTCCTTGCTGCTGTGGCAGCCAAAAGTCACTGCGCAAAATGCCGCTGGGATTGCTCGGCGGGCAGGCGGCCACCCCAGCCCTGGTGGTAGCGTTTCCCCCGCGACGCTCTCCAGACTATTAATCTCAAAGTCATTTAAATAGCTGCCCGAAAGGTGTGGGTAATCGATGTTAATTAGAGCCGGGAGCTCAGCGATGTTCTCAGATTAGGTCCCGCCTGGATTATTTCGCGCCGATCGATAGCTCCACGGCGGCCGCTCGCTTCACCTTTATTTCACCTGCCCCTGGACCCCGGCTCCGTGACCTGTGGGGCACGTGGGGATTTCAGGCCAGCTTCTTTGGGGCTGCCAAAAAAGCCAGATTTTATTTTTTTAAATTAATTTATTTACTTTTTTTCCCCCAATCTCTGTTCCTTGCTGGTGCAACGAGTGCGCCCTTCAGCAGGCTTGCTCTTGGGCACGGAGAAATGGGGTCTGTCTGTCCTGTCCGTCCCTTCCTCTGCCCCATCCCGCTGTCCTGCGGGTGCACATGGAGCGATGGCACCTTTGCTTTGTCTGTGGCTCAGGGGGGCGAGATGCACGCTTGTTGCACACTCCTTGCATGCTCCATGCAAGCTCTGTCCAAGCTCTTTGCTCCTTGCACACTCCTTGTGCACCTCTTGCGTGTTCCTTGCAACTCCACGCACCGTTCTTGTAGGCTCCTTGCACACCTCTTGCACACTCCTTGCACGCTCCGTGCACCATTCTTGCAGGCTCCTTGCAGGCGTGCTGGGCCCCGTGCCCACCCCACGCCGGCACGGCCGGTGCACCCAGCGGGCTGTCATTATGGTGTAAGAGCCCCATCATTCTGAATTAATCTGGGATTCATCATGCTAGCGGGGCGGTGTAATTAATTTATTTGGTATTAATGTGGATGAAATATGTACTGTCCTTGCAGGGGAAATCAGGCAGCCTATAAGCATTAGTTAAAAGAACCATTAAAATCAAACCTTCCTCGGATCCATTAGGCCGGTCTCTCATGCTGAAGAAGATAAAACCCCGGCGTGTGAAGTGTCATGCATAATTAGCTTGATTGCTGGTTTAAACTTTGCCCCCTCTCCCAGCATCCTCCCCCCCAGCCCCTATTGCACCGGAGCCCACCCGTGCCCGTCCCCGGCCGGGGCTCAGGGCCACCGCTTGTCCTTGCAGGCGTTTCGGGACCAAATGCACGGCGTGCCAGCAGGGCATCCCCCCCACGCAGGTGGTGCGGAAAGCCCAGGACTTCGTCTACCACCTGCACTGCTTCGCCTGCATCATCTGCAGCCGGCAGCTGGCCACGGGCGACGAGTTCTACCTGATGGAGGACGGGAGACTGGTGTGCAAGGAGGACTACGAGACCGCCAAGCAGAACGGTAAGCATGGCCCTCAGAGCACCTGGTGCCCGCCTCCAGCCTCAGCTTTGAGGATTTTCTGGACCCGGAGCGGGTGGGCTTCGCTTTAGGCAGGGGCTGCTCCTCCAGGCACGTTTCGGGGATGCTCACGCTGCTCGTTTGCTCCCAGATGACTCCGAGGCGGGGGCGAAGCGGCCCCGGACCACCATCACGGCCAAGCAGCTGGAGACGCTGAAGAACGCCTACAAGAACTCCCCCAAGCCCGCCCGGCACGTGCGGGAGCAGCTCTCCTCCGAGACGGGGCTGGACATGAGGGTGGTGCAGGTGAGCCCCGGGGCGACCCCCTGCCCCCAGGATGGGCTGGTCCCAGCAAGGGGGGTGCTGGGCTGCGGGGTGCTGGGTTGTGTGGGTGCTGGGGTGCTGGGTGTCACGGATGTGGCACGCTGGGGTGTCAGACTGCGGGGTGCTCGGCCTGCACGGGTGCCTGGAAGCTGTGGTGGGGTCCCAGGTGTGTGGGGTTGGGCTGTTGGGGCGCTGCTGTGCTGGGTCAGGGGTGCCGTGGTGCCACCCACGTCCCCGTTGCCTGCCCCAGGTGTGGTTCCAGAACCGGCGGGCCAAGGAGAAGCGGCTGAAGAAGGACGCGGGGCGGCACCGCTGGGGGCAGTTCTACAAGAGCGTCAAGCGGAGCCGCGGGGGCGGCAAGCTGGAGAAGGAGAGCTCGGCCGAGGACTGCGGTGTCAGCGACAGCGAGCTCAGCTTCCGCGGTGAGCGGGGCCAGGGGCGAGGGGCTGGGGGGGTCTGTGGGGTTTTCCATGCACTGACACCCCCTCTGCTCTCCCCCTTCTCCTCTGCAGAAGACCAGATCCTCTCCGAGCTCGGCCACACCAACAGGGTTTACGGCACGGTCGGGGACGTGGCAGGCGGACAGTTGATGAACGGGAACTTCTCCATGGACGGGACAGGGACAATCGTACCAGGACTTGCGGGACGGCAGCCCCTACGGGCTCCCCCAGTCGCCGTCGTCCATCTCGTCCCTGCCGTCCCACCCGCCCTTGCTCAACGGGCTGGACTACGCCATGGACAGCGGCCTGGGGCTGGTGGCACACGGGGCGCAGGGGGTGAGTCAGACACTGCGCGCCATGGCCGGGGGGGGCCCCACCTCCGACATCTCCACGGGGAGCAGCGTCGGGTACCCAGACTTTCCCACCAGCCCGGCCTCCTGGCTGGACGACATGGATCACCCCCCCTTCTAAACGCCGCTCGCCCCCCGCCCCGGCCCCCCTCGCAAACCCGCTCCCACCCCCTCCGCCAGCAGCCCGCAAACGCAGCACCGCCGGAGGCGCCCGCCGGGACGTGAGATGTTTCCAGGATCTCCCGTGGGAATCGGACATGGAGGGCTTTTTGGGGACACGGGGAGGGGGAACGGGGGCGTCCCCAGGGCATCGGTGATGTCCGGGGCTCGGCGGGGACAGGGTCGGATGCTTTTGGGTGTAAGCACAAGGGAGGTGAGGGCGGCACGGTGGGGAAGGGGGGCACCGGCCCTGCTCCAGCCTCGTCCCTCCCCGTGTTGGCGGAGAGCCACGTGCTTGGGAGGGATGGAGGTGGGAGGGGAGGACAATCAGGGAAGGCAAAGTCTATATTGCAGAAGGGTTTATTTTTGACCCCTCCCGGGGGTGATGCCGCTGGCCCCCGGCTCGGGTGGTGGTGATGGGGCGGGAGCGGAGCTGTCGCCCTGCGGCTGCGGGGCCGTGATTTATCCCCGGGTGCGCAGGAGCGCTCGCGGTGCATCGCTGCGGGCTGTGCCTCGCGAGCACGGCACGGAGGAATTGCAACGGGGAAAAAAAAAGCCTCGAGCCCGAGAGGCCCAAAATATCGGTCGTGGCCGGGATGTGCGGGGCTGGCACGGGGAGAGGGGACGTGGCCAAAGGTGGTGGGGAGCAGCGGGGTGAGGCGAGCCTGTTTGCTCCTGGGTATGGCAACAACTTCCCCCAAAAACAGAGGGGAAAAAGCATTTTGCCAGCTGCAGGGTGAGGAGTGAAGGGCACACGGGGGTGAGCCCCGGCCACACACCTCCTCCAGGTAGCAGGACCGAGTGTGGGTGCAGCCAGCATGGGGGGAGCCTTGGGGTGGTTTTGGCACCCTTGGGTGCAGGCACACAGCGGGCTGACGGCACTCGGTCCGACGGCTGAAACCCAGCTCAGCGCCTCGCAGCCCCGGGGTGTGCGGGCTGCTGCCAGAGCCCAGAAAGCAAAAGGGAGAAAAAAATAAATAAAGGAGTAAGAATTAAATATTCAGCCGAAGAAAGCACATCGCCAGGACGGGCCCTTGCCCCCCCGCTGGGTGTGTCAGTGCTGCACCCATGTGCCCCCCCTGCCGTGCCCCCCTTTGGTGCTGCTCTGTGCCAAGCTCCTCGCCACTGGTGGGAGCCCTGGGATGGTGGGAGGGGGAACAACGGGGGGCAGACCCCTGCAGGGGGTCCCCACTGGCTGTGCTTGTTTGCTGCCCACCCCCCCACACCATGAGAAGGCCAAACGTCCCCCCCTCCCCTCGCTGTGTAAATTTTGTACAGTTCCAGAAAGTGAGAGTCTTGTTTCCTGGGGAAAAAAAAAAAAAAAAAAAAGAGAAAATAAAAAAAATAAAAATGAAATCAAAGAATAAAACCTTATTTATTGCCATGTCTTTGGGGAGACACAACATCCCCCTCTCCTGCCCCCTGCCCCAAATTTTGGGCCCGGGGTGTTGCTTTGTACCCTGCCTCCTGCGCGATGGCATGAGCTGTGTACGGTCAGCCCGCCGCACCGAGGGCGCGCCATGGAAAATAAACTCGGGACGCTCTTTAGCAGCCGCTGTCTCTGGGCTTTTCTTCCCCGCCCGGGGGGGGGCAGTGGCTCAGCAGCCACCTGAAACCCCCCCCCCAGGATGTTGGGTGGGCAATAATTCGGGTGAGGTTGAGCCTGGAGTCCCCAGGACTGGGATGGAGATGGGGTGGCTCTGGCTTGTCCCATGGAGGCACCTTACCGAGTTGGTGGCCACGTCCCGGCAGCTGGGATGGGGGATGCCAGTTTTGGCAGCTCGGCGCGGATCCGGCACACCTCACGCCAGCCTGTGCTGCTTCGTGCAGGGGGGGAGGGCTCAGGGTGGGCACCTCCATCCCTTCCACTGCCCCCCCGGGCACCCCAAAATGCCCAAGGTGGGTGCAGGTGAGAGGCGCTGGGGGCGCTGAGCCCCGCCACGGGCACCGGTGTGTCGGCTTTATATATTTTAATCATTTTAACATTTAATGCTTCTCAATTAAAGTGATTTCCTGGAGTAGATGCCAAGCTTAGCCCCAATGCACATTAACCACTTTCTGTATCGGTAGTTAAAGGCACCGGGGGATTTAAGCAGCAATCCGCAAGGCTGTTGGGGAAAAGGTTTGGCTGAATAAAGCAGATTATAAACAATAATATATGTCTTTCTCTTCCCCCCCCACCGCCCCCTGCTTTTTTTGGAAAGGCTCCAACCTCACAAACAGACCTAAAGTGCTATAAACATCTCCAGGGCTGCGCGCTGAGCCCCCAGATGTGCTCCCTGAAAGCCGGGGCCTCGCCGCTACCGCTCTCCACCCCGGGTTTAAGAGAGATTTTTTTTATTTCCTGGTGCATCCGTCAAGCCCAGGGTCCCTCCGTGGTGGCGGTGGGCAGAAGGGCTGAGCCTCCCCGGTGAGGGCAGGGGGCTTGGAGCCCCCCGGCCAGAGGAGCAGCCCCGTGCCGTGCCGAGGCCGAGCCAGCACAGCAAAAGCCATCAGTGTCAGCCAAAAAAAAACCCAATCTGTGGGGTTTTTTCCTGCTAGGTTGAAACCAGCAAAGAGGACGCATGAAGTGGCTCGAGTCCCCGCTGTATTTCAGCCCTCGTGGGGGGGTACCCATCCCCACGGCATCCCGGTGAGGCGAACACGCGGAGGCACGGTCCCGACGCTGTGCTTGTTTTTATTTATAACACGTTGCTTGGACCCAGGAGAAAAAAAAAACATAAGAAAAATAAAAACAAACCGGGCCTCGCCCCAAAGGGAAGAGGCGAGCGGCCCGGCCAGGAGCGGCCTCGAAGACAATAAAACAACAGCAGGGCCTTATCCGGGCCTCTCTACCCCAAAAACAGCGATAAATGCCCGAGCATGCACAGCCCTGCGCCCGTCCTGCCCGCGGGGGGCCAGCCTTCGAGCCCGAAAGCCCAGACCCCGTGCTCTGAAGCCTCGATGTCCGTCTGGCTGCGTTAGGGCCCGCCGGCGGCGTGCTGCCGCAGGGCCGAGCTGATGGCCTTACAGCCCGTCACCTCCTCCGGCAGGCAGCCCTCCTGGTCCCGCAGCCCGGGGTCGGCTCCCGACTTCAGCAGCAGCTCCACGATGTCCAAAAACTCGCAGGCGGCGGCTGCAGGGAGAAAGGGAAGGGTTAGGGGCTGGCTGGTGGTGGTGACAGGCCCCGTGCGGCCTGGCGCGGCGTGGTGGCTGGTGGCTTCCCCTGGGTGTCCCAGGGACGTCGTGTTGTAAAAAGGGTGTTGAAAAAAGGAGGAAACCCAAAAAGCTGAAGAGCCCAGCAGAAGTCCCAGTGGCTCCATGTCCCCTTCCCACTTGGTCCTAAGGAAGCCAGCCCCATCCCGACCCCATCTGCTCTGCACTGACCTGCGAAGGCGGCTTCCTGTCGGATTGGTGTCTCTTGGTTTTAATTATCTTTCATATAATTAATTTCATATATATATTTTTAATTTTAATTATATAACTTTTACAACATAACCGACTAACTCTTTTTTGCCATTAAACGTAGCAATTAAGAGTGTCTTTTGCATTGCTCTGCAGTTTTTCTGTCCTGACCCAAAGGGACAAGCAGCAACGTTTAATTAAAATAAATTCAACCAGGCGACTGGAGCTCGAATGGAAAAAGATAAAAAGGGGAAAGGGACTGGGGCTGGTGATGGAGCAGGTGGCAGCAGGGACATGGGGCAGCCCGGATGGAGGGGCTGGGGAGGGAGCACCCGGGGGTGGCTGTGGAAAAGGAGCAGCCCAGGGATGCCAAGGCAGCGGCATCCGCGGTGCCCGTCCTTTGTGCCCCGGGGGGGTGGATTTATGGCCCCCTGGGAACCCCTATTTGTCACGGGGCCGGAGCGGCAGCCCTGACACCAGCAAGGGTGAAGATGAATTTTCATTCAGCGCAGTTCGCCTTCCGACTCCATTAATCCTCAGGGTTCAGATGATGAATTTCTTTCTCTCTCTCTCCCCCCCCCCCCCTTTTTTTTTTTTTTTTATTTATTTTCCCTCCAGCGTCCCGTCCCACTGCCCTGCCACGGCACAGACAGAGCCGAACAGATGGTGCTTTACAGGGAAGACAGAGCGCCCGTGAGGATAGAGAGCCTGCCCACCCCGCGGCCACGTGGCCGCGAGTGCTCGGAGAAGCCTTGATTTCCTCTGGGAGCGGCAGCGGCAATGATTTCTGTATTCCCTGTGGGCGGGTGGATGGATGGAGGGATGGAAGGAGGGATGGAGGGATGGAGGATGGAGGGATGGAGGGATGGATGGATGGATGGATGGATGGATGGATGGATGGATGGATGGATGGATGGAGAAGACCAGGAGGCCACTCAGTGGGAGGCCACGCTCGTGCCCGGCTGGTCCCACAGGCCAGAGGAGCTTTTGGGAGGCAGCTGAGCGCTGGCCCCCGCTTAACCTCCACTTAAACCCAGGGTCAGCGCCCTGATGGGTGGAAGGAGGCGGAATTTATAGCCTGGTGCATCCTGAGGTCCGACACCGGCTGTAATCAGGAGAGCTGTCGCCACAAGGCCAGCTGTCAGGCCGCGCTCGCTCATAAAAAGGGATGGCTACACCCTAAAAGCAGCCGCTCCCGGGGCTTAACCCTTCCCAGAAAAGGCTCGAAGAAAAGGGGAGGCCGCGTTCTGCGCTGGTGCCTGTGCTGCAAGGAATGCCTCGGTTACGGAGCCCCTACTGAGCTGGCACCAGCTTTTTCGGTGAGCCCCAGTTTCAGGCTGGTAGCACTTGAATCAGAGCAATTGCCTCATTTAGTAGGGGTTCAAGATTTGGGTGATTTGTGGCCAGATCTGATACGTGAGGGAACTAGGAAGGAAATCTCCTGCAGACCAGACCCATGGGCTTGAGACCCAGAGGCTTCCCCGCAGGTGACTCACAGGGATAACACCTGAGGGAAGGGAAGATTGTCCTTAACACTCACAAAATTTCAAAAAAAACCTGGAAAACCCATTATTTAGACATCAGAGCTGGCCAGGTGGCTCAGAGAAACTACTTCTGAAATAACGTTAATTAAAATAGATAAGTTTTCGTTAAACACCCAGCCCCAAATTTGGAACGAGCTGGGCAGAGAGCAAGGCACCGAAGTGCTGCTCTCCAGACACCGCAGCACCACGCAGCAGATTTTCTGCTTCACTCAGAAGGATACGAATTTGAAAAATGAAGCCTCCTGCAGGAGAGATCACAGGGGGAACACTCCTGCATTACTGTAATTGCAGTCTTGGTGCAAGGGCCCGGGAATTTGGTAGTGTAGCTCCAGGTCCAAGCGCTGTGTCTCGGACCGACGGGCTACAAAGCGATTTTGCCATCCTGCTGATGTCCTTGTGGAGAGCTCAGCGAGAGAGAAGGAGGCACAAACACTGCAGAATGACAAGTACGCTCTTAATTACACACTGACAGCCACTGAGAGGGAGTAAAAAATAATAACTGGGTATGTCTTAATTTGGGAAAAAATTATGATAGAGATTAAATCGATTTTTTTTTCTCTCCCCTGTACGTCAGCACTGCATGTGTCACTTCAGTCTCTTTACTTTTCTCATTTAGGGGTAGAACAATCTTTCAATGAAAAGAACTGCTACAAAATCCTGTATCTAACCAGCACGCAGCTGTAGGGGTGATGCAAGCTGGTTTGGCAGCAGAGGCTCTGTTGTGCTCTCCGCTGGCACCAAACCAGCCTGTAACCAGGCCACTCGGAGGTTAGACCACATTCCTCACGGACGTGGTCACCGGTGAAACAACCCCATCTTCCCTCCTGCTGTTCCTGCTGAAATTTGCCTTCTGTACGTAGCTCCAGCTGCAAAGCCATCCTGTTAAGAGGGAACCACCAAGGCGAGGGGCAGCTTACCGTAATGGAGCGCAGTCTGGCCTTCGCCGTCCTGGAAGAGAGACAGAGACTTGATTTGAGAGGTGTAGGCAATGCCGTGTGGCTAGAAGTAAATGCCAGCTTTCAATAAATAAAATGAATCACAGCAGTACATGAATTGACCAGATCAACAGTCCTGGACACCCAGCTACATAGCGGCCAGGCTCTGACCCACCACCGGTCCGTATCGATGGGCAACCAGCACCCAGCCACATATAACAACACTGTGGGGCACGTCACAACATGAGTATAATTCAGTTCATAAAAATAAAGGATTTCATTCCTGCAGCCTTATTTTGGGACCTGAGGTAATGCTGAGGTTTTGGTGGCAGCTACCTCTGTAGGTGCCCACTGAGAGTAAGGAAACAGGTAATGCACCTGGGTGCCTGTACGGCTCAACATAGTGGGCATAATGAAAGAAAACAAAACAAAACAAAACAAAAAAATCAACTCGGATTGAAGACACCAGCCCTTGGTGTGTCCTGCCCTGCTCTTCCCGCGTGTCCCGTCCCCAGAGCCAGCAGCACAAAGCTGGCACTGCCCCGTGCCGCAGCCTCGTCCTGCCACGGGAGCAGGTGAAATGCCAGAAGGGAGGAATCACTGTCCCCTTCGCTTTCACTGCCCCACCGGGATTAGCCTCTAAGTCAGCTCCTTGCCTCCTTAATGTATTTGCATCTGTTTATGGAGACTTAAGTTTTTAATTACCATCATCTTTGGGATTAAGGTGCAAATTCGACAGCCCACCATGGATGCAGGAACCGAAAATAAGGAGAAAAAAGGAGAGGAGAACAGGTAGAAACCACACAGAGAACTGCTGCTTGGAGATGTCTGGTTTCCAGGCTGGTTATTATCAGACCAAACATGCCAAACTTTGGGAAGGGGCTATGCAAAGGGGGGGTCCACGGACCCCATCAATGGATGGCAGCTGCTAATTCCTCTGTGTTAACGAGGAATTGGTGCAGAGCCACAGAGCGGTTCGGAGCAGCACTGGGGACGGCACGGACCGGAGCCGGGCTGGAGGAGAAGGAGAGGTGGCAGCAGCACGGGTGAATTATCGGAGAGGCAGGCTTTAAAATATGCAGGGCTGGGGGATGGGAGGCGAGCTCCGCTCTGCATCACCGCTCTCAAAATTTCAGCCAGCAACAGCGGCAAAAAAATACCCGCAGGTGGATCGAATCGGAGAGGCACAACGGGACCCGGGTCCCCTGGCAGAAATCCCTGCCTGGAGGAGAGCTGCGCCTCCAAGCTCCTTGCAAAACGCCGAGGGCTGGTCCAGAAATGCTCCAGACATTTGTTCCTCTTCCAAAGGCCTGCGCTGAACGCTGCTGCTTCAGCACTGCCACCATCGGGCTGCCTGACCGGCCTTTTTGCTGGGCTCCCGGGCAGGTCCCAGCACACAAAATGCGTCTCTTCAATCCCAACGCTGCTTTTAAAAAAAGCTATTAATCCCATGTTATGCAAACGCTGTTTACACTTTATTTACACCGTTTTTTTTTTTTCCCTTCTGAGCCTGACCGCTGGCCGAATGCCATTTGTTCCACTTCTCCAACGCGATGCTGTTCGCTTCTGTTTCCTCCGTGACAATTTTTAATCCAGGGAAATGGAAAAAGCTCCGGCGTGGTCCCTCGCTAAGGGCCTTGAAATGCCCTCCGGAGGCTGCTGACGGCAGGTTTGGGTTTCTGGAGCCCCCCGTGTGCTGCAGCTGGGCACCAGGCAGGGTCGTGCTCACCCTTCAGGGTGCTGTGCCCACACCTGGGGACTAATCGGATGGGATGTGAAAGTAAGTGTTAGGGCTATGGCTGGGGAAATTTCAGGAGATGAACGCCACCAGCAAAACTCAGCTGTAGCCACAAAAAAAGCACGTGGCTGCTCCAGCAAAGCCTGACAACAGCACAGCACACTTCTGGCTAGCTTTAAAATATTAAAATTAGCTGCATCGCTGATGGTTACATGCAGGGATGCCCGTGCCAGGAGCAGGCGCTGCAGCTGGTGGCAGACCCGCAGCCACCACCGGTCTCGGGGAGGCAAAACGCCTCCGGGCACAGATCACCCACCAGGACAGACAGACAGAAAGGTGTCCGAGGCCGCTGCCGAGGCTGCGAAGAGGCCCAAGAGGCGTGAGGAGGCTGGTAAATACCCGGGCACTGAACGTGCTCTGGAGCACAAAGGACGGGCTCCTGCAGAGAACATCTCGAGCCAGGTTTGACCCTGCAATGCCGCTGGGCTGTGCGTGTGGCCCTGTGACAGTGCACTCACTTGTAAGCGTTTGAGCCAACAACTTCTCCTTCTGCTATGAAGACAGAGCATGCAAATAAAAGAATATTGCTTGTCTTGCAACAATTTCCTCTCTGGGAGCCGTTGCGTTATGCCCCGTAACAGCGGCTGGCGAGCCAAGAACTTCAAAAATAACAAATGTCCGTGTTTACCCAACCCATCGGCACAAAGATGCTGCAAAACTACCGCTGCCTCCTCCGTGCAAGGTCTGCGACAGATGTCACTCCGTGGAAATCCCGCTGGCAGTGGGTAACTTATAGGATAAGGGGATTGCGCGGTGCTCCTGAGAAATTTGGGTGAGAGAAATGAGAGAAGACGGAGCGAGCGCAGATGGACCGACCGTCTTATCCCTTAAGTGGTACCATGGCCACTGCACACCAGTTTGGTCTTATAAGGGAGAGGATTACACCGGGGCTTCCATCCCCAGCCCGTTCCTTGGGGGTTTCTGTTCCCTGGTGTACCTGACACGGGGTTTTGGAAGTGCTGATGGGGAGGCAGCGGCACGGCACCGTCTGCGCCGAGCCCTGCAGCTGTGTGCATCACCTAACACAGCTCCCGCTGCCACGTGGAGACACCCCCTACACCTGTACCTTTCATGTAGGAGGGAAAACAAAGCCAGGCATGGATCCACGTTGAGTTTTTTCTTTGATTTTTTTCAGAGGAACAATAAATCCACACCAGTGTGCAGCCAGGGCAGCCGGTCCCTTCTCTTGCGGGTGAGCACTTCGGTTAGGAGATGCTCACCGTGTGCCTCTGCTTACCCAAGGGCTTTGGTCCATGGTGATGAACCCAGGGCCGGGCAGACATCAGCAGAAAACACAAACAGTAACCTTTCCCTTCTGAAGGATGGCACGTGAAGGTATTCTTTTCCTCTGTCACCTTTTTTTCCTGTTCATCTGTGGGATGTTAACGGGTGCGTGCTCGTCCCCGTTCACGGGCTCCAAAGGTTGGCAGGGATCGCAGCAGATAAGAGCGATGAGGTGATAAGAGTGTTTAACAGCGTGGGGCCTGGGCAGCACGGATGGGCCAGCGAAGATAAATATTTACACTACGTCTTTAGAAGGTGAGTGAATAAAAAGGGCTGGGATAATACAGACTCTGAACTACTGCTTAGGAGCTGTGAATATAAATCTCCGCAGCCGCACGACACAGACTCACTCAAGCCAGGGAGATGAAAAATCGCAAGAAAATACTTCCCTCCACTTTTAAAAACGGTTTTATTCCTCATTTATTTCCACTTTAGACTTCAACTTCCCAACAATTTACTTTAACCTCATCATCTTCTTTTTCTCTCCGAGATTTTATCCCCAGGATGACTGTGGGCGAGACTGCAGCCAAAAGCGCACCAGGATTCGGATGCTAACGCCCACCAGCACGCGAAACCGAGCGACCTGGGCTGCTACAAGCAGCCTGAACTCCACCAGGCGACTCAGTGGATGGCCCGGCACAGCTTTTATTTTCATTTTTGTGCTTATTTTGCACACAGCAGCCTAGATTTGGGCACGCACCATTAACACCTGCAAAGGCTCCAAGGACCAAGGACACAGGGTCTTCCAGCAGAAGCAAAACCCAAATCCAGGCACCAGCCACACACAGCTGTTATTTGGGGTCTGCAACAACCCAAGCTAACCCATGTGGGGCTTGGCTATCCCGTAATGAGCTCCCCAATTAAATCTAGCACGCAGGTAGGGTTGGCAGGTGCCCCTTGCTCCTGGTGCCGAGCTGTCCTTCTCCAGGAGCTCTCTCTCCCGCCCCTTTATGCCCTTTCAAGGCAGATACCCGCCAGGCTGGAAGGTGCTAGACAGATCTTTATCATCACCTCTTGAGCCCTTCTCCAGAGCCTATCACCAGGCTATCACTGGGGCTATCTCCTAAGTGCCTCCTGGATAAATTAGATCTGCATAGAGAAGCAATTATTACATTTCCAATGGCACGGACCCTTACAGCACAGTCTGCTACTGAAAGGCAAAGGAAATTGCATTAGCTTTTGTTTGATTCACCGTTATGATCGAGGGAAGAGGCATGCAGCAGCCCTTTAAAGCCGAGCCGGGGAGCTGGGGATCCTTCTGTCTGGGAACCTCCATACCCGTACCCGTGCCTTGAGGATACGCTCCTGCATATTTAGGTGCTCTGATTTGAAGGCAATCAAACCTACTGCTAAAGGCAGATCTCAGAAAGCTCAGAGAGCACCTGATGCCCAGGAACTCGCTCCCCATAGCAGCCTGCATCCGCTACTGCCCCCAAACCCTGCTGGCCCAGGAGTTCAGAGGGCCAGGGCCACGCTAATCCCTCACCGCCCCAGTTCCCGACGAGTGCTGCACCTCAATTTCCACGTGCAGTTTCAGTGGGCTTTATCACATCCCCTGCTGTCAGCACCTGGTGCTTGCACCTCGCTATCCCCCTGCAGCGTGGCTGTTTCACTGCACAACGAATGCATTTCTGCACCTCGTGCACTGCGGCGACTCCTGGGCTGCCAGCCTGGGGCGCCTTCCTGCCCCAACTTGTGCACCCAAGCACCGCTGAGGGGTTGTGTTTGTAGTGCCCCAAGGAATATTTGGTGCTCTCGGTTACTTCCAGCATCAGGCACCTTCCCGGTCACCGCAGAGGTGTGTTAGTGTACCACAAAACCTGGAAAATTTGGGCTTTGTCGTCCCACTGCAAGGATGGGGATGCAAACCTTGGAGGGAGCCGTGCCTCGAGTTGCAACAGGCAGCACAGTGCTGCAGCTGAGCCAGCCGT